ATAAAAATACCATAATATGTTTGCAGATATTTAGGAAACATGCCAAGTGAACATTCTTGTTTATCAGAAAAACAATGCTGAAGTCAGATATTCTGCTTTGAAAATATATATTCTGTGCCGGATCGCTGTTTTTGTTTTGGTTCTTTTAACACACCCAATGCCAGTTTAGCCAATTATATTTCCATGACCGAAATGGGACCTCCGGTGGACGGTAGCAGACTCTGAAATCAGATGCAGATTCAGTTCCACATGAGGTAGTTATTAATTAGCAAATAATATAAATATTACCACCAGTGTAAACATTTGGTGAGCAGATTGCATTGTAACCCTGTGTCCTTACAACACGCTACATGATGAGATTTGCAGTGATAAGCAATTTGGCTGTTTGCATTAGACGAAACGCCACAGAAACTTAAATACAGCCATTCAGAAGCACAGAATATGCACTCACTAACGAAATGGTAGAGTTTATAAACAAATTAATACATATTAACATTACTTTAACATTAATTAATGTACATACTGAATGTGTTGGTTTGCATTATTTCAGAGTTCTAAAGTTCAATTTCAGACGGTTTATTTTATTTTTATGATCTGAGGTGAACTATCTGCTGCTGCATTCAGTAGTGTGGCAATAAATGTCATGTTAAATGGCATTTAAACTCGCATTGTTCGCATTTAACACTCAAAGCACATGTTTATCCTGTTGTTCAGCTGCAAGAATAGGAAGCGATTTATAAAATGTCAATTTGAGGTGTTGGGTAGAACAAAAACTCCTTTTAATATGAAAAATATTCCTTCTGTCGTGTGCCGTTGCTTTTATTTAGAACCCGAATTAAATCAGCCTTTAAGCAGGTCGCACACCAGAAGCGCCGCTCGGCGCCGCGACACGGCGCGTACATGACAGTTTAAAGTATCACACACCAGACGCGCACATTCGAATGATATTTAACATGAAACTAATCAGATGGCGCTCTGTGGCGCGGCTGAAAAATGAACTGCGTCCTGAGCCGTCGCCGGGCGCCGCCGACAGCCGCCGACTTGCGGCGCCGGTGTGTGTATCCTGATAGAAACCTATGTTTAGAATTCTAAAATACATGGCAGTACGTGGCACTGCGCGGCGCGCCGCCGAGCGGCGCTTCTGGTGTGTGACCTGCTTTAGGCTCGATAGTCAGAATCTGGCAACCTGCACTTGCGCTTTTTTTTGATCTAGGAATGTAATACCTAGTTCAACCACTGGGTGTCAAACTTGCATACCGCATTTTTAATGTTCACTTTAGTTATGACAGCTGTAATAGTTCAGTTTAGCAGGGTTTTTGGCACTCTTATCCAGAGATGTATAAAGTACTAGAGACCCATACTTAAGTAAAAGTACAAGAACTCTATCAAAAATAACTTAAGTAGAAGTAGAAGTGCTCTTTAAGCACCATACTTAAGTGGAAGTACTAAAGTATTCAACATTTTTAGTACTTAAGTATTGCAAGTAGTTTATTTCAAAATTTACTACTCAAGTACTGAAATTAAAAGTTTTGTGTAATGTAGTTATTAAAGAAAGTCAAAGTCAAAAGACATCATATTGTTTTGTTTATTTTAAATATCTTTTTTGGGGCACTTGATTAAGCAGAATGAAAATAAACATGTCTTATGATACTGTTTTTCTTTGTAAATAGTTTCTATGGTACAAGAACTCACAACGTCAGGCCCTTTTACCAGAAAATCCCTTCACTGATGAGAATATTCAGCATGTTCAATCGCATACATTCTCTCTCTCTCTCTCTCTCTCTCTCTCTCTCTCTCTCTCTCTCTCTCTCTCTCTCTCTCTCTCTCTCTCTCTCTCTCTCACACACACACACACACACACACACACACACACACACACACACACACAGTTCTCTCTCTATCTCTCTCTCACTCACACACACACACACACACACACACACACACACACACACACATTTTTGTGAATTGTGGGGACATTACATAGGTTACAATTGTTTTTATACTCTACAAACTGTACTTTCGATGGCTCTAACCCCAAATCCAACCTCTAAATCCAACCCTTACAGGAAATTATGTGTATTTTTACTTTCTAAAAGTAAAAAAAAAACATTTAGTGTGATTGAATTTTACAAATAATGTCCACATAATTCACCATTTCCTCATAACATCTGTGTAATACCGATGTTATTATACATATACATGGGCACACACACACACACAAACCCATATAAATACACTCTTTTACACTCTTATACACTCTCTCTTACACACACATAGACGCACACACAGGTACAATCACACAGTTTCTCTCTTACACACATTATTCACTCTCACTCGCACACAAACACACACTCACACTTTGGGAGATTTGAAGTTTGATTGGTTAATATCACAATAAACAGGAGTTCTTTCTTCTGGAAGCACTCGTGAAACTAAACTAAACAAGCAAACTAAATCCTGTTGCACTAATTCACTTGATTTTGATTTTGTTGTAAAAAAAAAAACAGGAAAGTGTGTATATTACTGTGTTAAATGAAAATCTGAAATATTTTATGGCTTATGGCTATGATTTAGTTAAAAAAAAATTTTTGATTGTTTTTAATTAAATTTGTCTTACACTTCATATTTTCTGTAGTATAATTATTAATTCTGGTACTTTTACCATAAACCAACATCTTAACCATTTGGTAGAGGCTGATATTTTAGAAATTATGGGATGTGTTGAGAAAAAAATGCATTGATTGTTTTAACTAGCGACATTAGGAGAAATGCAATCAAAAAAAATTCTATTGCTTTTGTCTTGATGTGACAGTTAAAGGGTTTTTTGTAATACATTTTTGTTCTTTAATACAGCAGTCAGATATATGAACCGTACCTATAATTTGACCTGCTCAAAGAAAACACTTTCTGAAGGTATCAAACAAAACTCATGCAGAGAAGACTGCATGAGCATTTACAGCTAATAAACTAATGTCTATATTATCCCGCCTGCTTTTTGAGCGCTGGTCTTATGATTGGTTACTTTTCACCTGCTCAACAGAAAGGGCTTTAGAAATGAAGCGCTGTACAGCCATGGCGGGAAGAATACGCGGTTATCACAGGTAATAGACACAGTGGAGAAAACTTGCACATCAGACACGCTCGTGTCTGGATGGATCCACAGCTTTAACAGCCAAGAAGAGAGGACAAGTTACCTTACAAACAGGCCAGCGGGTCAAATGTCCAAAGTGAGAAAGAGAGAGGCAGAGGCGAAGTTTTACAACATTTCTCCCTAATAGTGAAATAGCGGCTTGTGTGCTGTGCCGCCTCACCCTCGCGCCTCCGTCCTCCGCCATAGTATTGCGACATCGCGCATAGGAGATAAATGACGTCATCAGGTAATAACCGGTTATGATCTATTACTGAAATGATATCGATCACGATGCAGCACATAAAAAAATCTATCGGAGTAAAAGTATTAAACTCATGGAAAATATGTTCTTAAGTAAAAGTGGAAGTACGAGAAAAAAACAATACTCCAGTAAAGTACAGATACTGCCTTTTTGTACTTAAGTACAGTAGTGAAGTAGTTCTACTTCGTTACTATACATCTCCGCTCTTATCTTGAATTTGTTGAACGGTTCTGTTTATTTTAGTTGTATTTCCACTACAAGCCCCCATTAGTTTCTGATTCTCGCAGATAATCTTAACATGCAAGTGGCAGCATGCTTTGGACTTTATAATACTTTGTTGTCGTTTAATTTGCACATATGATGTAATTCATTTAATTGATATTTTTACAGATGCATTAGGCCATTGACTGCTAATATTTGATTAGTATTAGTGATTAGAACTGTATTTGATCACTTTTAAATAACTGGAATATCAACTATAGCATTTAAGGACTGATATAACAAATCAGCAGTTGTGAAATGAAATAAAAAATATAAAAATATATATATTTTTATATAAATATATTATATATGTTTATATATAGAAATAAATACATTGCCTAAGCGTAATAATGTTTAAAATTGTTGCTATAACAAAATATCTTATTAAGTTAATTTTTAAAAAAATCTTATGTCAACCTCAATAAACACTGATGCTTGCTGACAACTAGGCTATATTATTTAAGGGCATTTATTATGGCATTGATAAGATCAAATGTATATTTTATTTTAAATCTAAATGTACTGCTTCAAAACCATTACGCTATATGCTTCAGCATCAAAGCACAAACTGGTTTATTAAATAAAATAAAATCTAGCCTAAATAAAATGAAAATTCACAGTTTTAGGAAAAATTATATTTAACTTTTTTCATTTTTAATGACAAAATCATCCATTGAGCGAGTCAGTTTCAATTTAATTAGTTTAGTTAGTAAAGTATGTATTCGCCGAACTGAACTTTCCTGATTAACTCGAAAAAAGGAACTTGGTTGGAAGGCTGAGAGAACTCAGAAACTTGTTCTGAGAATGAAGATGTCTGCATATTTGTGCCAGTCTGTCAAATAAAATGAATTAAAACACTTAATTATTTTAGAGAAAGTAGTTAAAGTTTGCTTAAGCAAGAATTGAGCTTGATTGATTCATTTTTAATGAACTTTGATTACATGACCGATGAATTAATGGTAGCACCCACAGATATAACTGAGAAATTATGTGCTCCTTTTGTCCAGTGTCACCCATGTGATGGAACTCGTTGTGAAGATCGGGGAAAAAATTCAACATGCTAAACTTTCTGCGATGGTGTCATGAGGTGTCACAGACATGATATTGGTTGACGTTAACTATGCCACAATACACGAGAAGAAACTATTGAATCTTGTGTCATAACGCCCATTTGTCATTCACGAGTCCCTACGACACATTACATCAAGTTAATCGTGCCAGAATTGTGTGATCTGACCAAGGCTTTAATTGCATTTACCTTTTTTATTTGTAAACTCTCACAGCACCATTTATTCACCATTGATCACTATAAAAACCTGTTTTCACCAATCTTCTTTTCTTCCGCAGACCCTCCTGGTTTGATGGGTCCGATAATCGGCATGTCTCCAGATAAGAAAGCCGAATCTCCTGGAGCACAGGGAGCGTGTGGAGCTGGGACTCTCCCTGAAGCAGAGAGTGCTTCCAGTCCAATGGCCACCAGTCTAGATCAAATTGGTCGATCTGTCAGTGTTGTGGCAGGCGAGTCTGAAGACGACGAGCTCACAAACCTGAACTGGCTTCATGAGAACTTGCTACAGAACTTCTCTCTTGGAGGGCCCGAGGCACAACCCATCAACAGCCCACTGTTTGACATTGAGGGTGGCATCGGGTCGCCACATAGCAACACCAATTCATCCGCCTCCTCTGTTTCGACAGGAAGCGAAAGAGATCCTTACAAGTCCAAGCCTCCCTTCTCTTTCTCTTTATTGATATACATGGCCATCGAGCATTCACCTAGCAAATCTCTCCCAGTGAAGGACATCTACGGCTGGATCCTCAAGCATTTTCCATATTTCTCCAGTGCCCCTACTGGCTGGAAGAACTCAGTGCGCCACAACCTGTCTCTTAACAAGTGCTTCCGCAAAGTAGAGAGAAGCATAGGAAAGGTAAGAGCCTTTTCATATGCTGTGTGTGTAATGGTTAATGTTGGCCATGTGATACAAAAAAAACAAAAACAACCGATTACTTAATATTCATTCAAAAGCGAGTGATGTTGTTATTTGATCAGGTGTAGTGATTAGCTTATTCTAAAATGCTGATAAAGAAATAATTGGTCTCATTATGTGATTAAAACCCCCATTTGATTTTGCCGTTTTTGGCGATGTCGACCAATTTGGCATTGTACGACGTCTAATGTGAAACATCGCGATGAATGATGGCATCATCGTCGTAGGTGGCAGTGAATTGACTATTTATGAATAGTTAAATCATAATGAATTTATTATTTGTAGCATGCAGTTTCAACGACCTGACCCGCATGGTCTTTGTTTTACCCTTAACCAAATCATAAATAAATAAAGATAAGTTACTTACAAATTACCACCTGTCAATCACTTTTTCCACGGGACTTTGGCATGAATAGGCAGATTGATCTGTGTCGTTATATTGGCGTTGACAAACTTGGTAAAAAAGGTGCACAACCAACAGGAACCAACCAACAGAATCTAAGTGTTCGCTAAAATTACTAGGTACATGCGTGAAAGCGAAAGATTGAAGCAGTGTACTGACGCTGTGACACATTACCTGGTAGATTCAAAAGACAGAAGAGCCGTTAGATAGAGACAAGATTAATTAAATATCACGTTTAACAGCTGTAGTGCGACGCGATGCAGTGTTACATCCTTGATGAACTGTCCGATGTGCACTGCTCTCTGGAGTTTTGTGCTCAAAAGCACCCGCTGACTGCAAGGAGCTCAGACGTGTACATGACAGAGTGTGTGTGTGTGTGTCTGTCTGTGTGTGGTCACATAATGTGCTTTTTCAGCAGTACGTAATCCGTAATTGTTTTTGTTCTAAAATGCCAACTTAACACCAAGACCTATTAGTGTAAACAGGGCCTAAGTGTGTATTTTTCGTGAGTGGGTTGCTGCTGAGATAGGGGCGGCATGGAGGATCGCGCTGCAGGCTCAGCGTCGTGATGGACATCGGCGATGGACGATTGCAATGTCTATCACCCCAACCCTAGTTGGACTGTTGGTTTTCAAGTTAGTTGGGGTTAAGGCAACAGACGTAATGTAACAAGCTAATTTATGAATACTATGTGTAATATTATTACTGATATCTACTTTAAAATTTTTTACAGTAGTGTTATTAAATGCAAGTATTGTACTGTAATACAAGTAACATGTTGCTGCCCAACTTATAAAAGAGAAAAGTCAGCCAGTCATTAACAAAAAAACAAGTACGTTAATTGAAAGCATACAGTGCTCAGCATAATTGAGTACACCCCCTTTTGAAAATGTATAGTTTTATCCATTTCTCTGAATATGGGTAATATATTTTGGTGCATTTGAACAAAACCGATTTATTAAACATATATTTATTAAAGTAGTATTTTAGTTACCAAACATCTTTGAAAATAGAAAGATAATACATGTAAATTCATGTGAAATACTGCACAAAATTACAAACTTAAAACAATTATATACATATTTTTTGCTTCTTGATTTATTTTTTTTCCCCTTGTTTTATTTTCCTTTTTTTTAAAAATATTTTTCTCTAACATAAATTTGGGCTTAAAATTTTTGAACTGCTATTAGAAGTTATTTTGTTAGATTAGCTCCAGATTTAGATTTAGTGCTGACTAATACAATGTATTTGCACAAATACACAATATTATAAAGCATCTTAAAGAAAATATTAATTTAAAAGAGACATTTGTGCGGGGTGTAATCATCTATTCTGAGCACTGTTTAAAGAGTAGTCGTATTAGACTGTTATGATGTTTATTTTTATTTATCTCCTTATTTTTTTATATATTTTTTTATTATTTATTGCATGAGTAAATATTGGATATTTCATCTTAAGCTAATCTTGCTACTTTTAGCTTAGTCAAATGTACTGCTAATGTGCAATTTCTTAGCCTTCAAAATAGGGTTGCGCGATACCGGAATTCGGTACCAATCGATACTTAAGCTACAATATTTTTGGTTTGAATCGAAATTTTAAATATGTCCATTTGCTGTTAACATTTGAGCGATGTGGAGAGCGTTTTAAACAGCACTGATTTGTGATTGTGTTCATTTGCTCAACAAAAATGACTGTGATTGGCTGTGAAGGTCATCGGGTAACTGCTCTTACCACTGTTTAATGAGTGTAAGCACAAATACAGGGACACTGGTGCATTTCAGTCACCTTGATCAGCTGGTTTGTTTGTCTATAAGCTGACATACAAGCAATCCACTGATATATCGGGCCTTATAAAGCTCCAGTGTCCTTGTATCTGAGTTTACACTCAGTAAACAGTGATGAGTTCTATAAAATGATGACCTTTACAGCCAGTCACAGTATTTTATGTTGAGCATGTGAACACAATGGCAATTCAGTGGTGTTTAAGAACGTGCTGAACAGCGATCAAATGTACTAAATACTAAACTCCAGTATCGTTACAACTACAGCTTTTGTACAGTACTTTATGAATATTCACATTTAAATTTGGAGTTCTTTGTTTATCATGATGCAAACAAAAAGTGGGTACACACTTTGGAATAACTCTGTCATGATCTGCACTTCTTATAAAAAATGGTCCAACTCATTGAACTCCACTCATCCCTTAGTGTGTCATCAGTTCACACACTGAGGAAGGGGTTAAGCTGAAACATTTGTGGTTATACAGTTGTGCTCGAAAGTTTACATACCCCTTGAAGAATTAGTTTCAATGTGAATAGTTTTAATAAAATCAGAAAGGTCATACAAAATCCATGTGGCTTTTATTTAGTACTGTTCTGATTAAGATATTGTACATAATATGTTTACATATAGTTTACTAGACAAAAATCTAGCTGAAATTATTAAAATAACCCCCTGCAAAAGTTTACACACCCCTTGGTTTTCAATAGTGTGTGGTTTCCTGATGATCGACGAGTGCTTTTTCTGCTTTGTGATGGTTGTTCACCAGTCTCTTGTTTGTTCTGAATAGTTAAACTGATTGCTACTCTTCAGAAAAATCCTCCATCTCCTGCAGATTCTTCAGTTTTCCAACATCTTCTGCAGATTTGATCTTTTATGTACAATATTACTCAGGACAGTGCTAAATAAATACACATTACGTTACATTACTAAATAAATAAGAACAAGCAGTTTGTAAGATCTCTCTTATTTTGTTAAAATTATTCACATTTTAGCTAATTCTTTCAGGGGTAAGTAAACTTTTAAGCACAACTGTATTTTCTGAAGAAAGTGAAATAAAAAAAAAATCAATTACTCAATCAAGTTTATAATAGTTTTGGATTTTTCATTAGTTTTAGTTTTTTGTTTTGACGTAGTTTTAAAATTCAGCTAGTTTTAATTAGTTTTTAGAGGGAGATTTATTAGTTTTTAAATTTTGAAATTGCTTAGTTTAGTTTTTATTAGTTTCAGTATTAGTTTTAGTTTTTTTGTGTGTAAACTAGGATATTTTTTGTGCGAAATTCAAAGTCAGCATAATAAATATTCTAAAAAAATAAATAAAAAAAAACTTAACCAAAGATTGGCTACATTTGACATAAGAACACTAATGTTACCATCTACCACTAATGTTAGCATCTACCCATGCTCAAATTCAAATACAACAGCCCACAAGATAGCAGCCTTAGGTAAAATATGTGTGCAAGGCTGCTTCTGAGATTAGATACACAGTAGTGATGAGAAGTTCAGATCTTTAACACGAACCAGATCTTCAGTGACAATCTTCCCAGGTTAGGACTCAACATATCAAAAACATAATCAGCAATCATAATTGCAGTCAGTAAAAACATCAGCATGATCTGAAAAGTTTCTTACAATTATGTTTTGCAACCCAACTGAAGCATTATTCACTTTCTGTTATGACGTAAACTTGTGTTTCACTAGAACCTCTAATTTTAGCCCTTGGTTTACCTGCGCTGCAGTTGTTCAAGTTTAGTTCAGAAACAGCAGTCTGTCATGTTTCTGTTCGGTTCGCTTCATCACGCATGCGCAGAATTATCGGCTCACCACTTGTGTGTTGTTCTAATAACTGAATAACTCTGTATATATTGATTATGTATTTCAAGTCAGAGGGGGGTTTTACACATGTTAAAAAGTTGTTTGTGGATAAGTGCTTAACGTTAATGGAGATGTGAATTGTTTCAAATGATTCAGTTTGACTTGTTGCGATCACGATCACTAATATATAAATAAAACCCACTATTGGGCACAATTGTGTAAAAAGTATTAATTTAAGTCTTATTTAAAGCTGTCACCGTGCTGCTGTCATGTCCAGTCGTTGTTTTTGTCACGGGAGCAACGGCGAAGCCTGACTGGAGGAGCACTGGCTTGACCTGGCCAATATGCATCAGGATTACAGACTGGCAGCGTGAAGTAAATAGATTTACTTCTTAAAGGCTTACAGTCTGTATTATTACATTTACAAAGACGAAAACAAAGGATGTTTTTGCTGTAATTTTAGTTAGTTTCAGTTAGTTTTGTATGTACACAATACAGTTTTAGTTGTTTCTATTTTTTTTAAACTCTTGTTTTTAATTTTTATTTCAGTTAACAAATGTGTTCTAGGAGTAGTTTATTAGATTTAAGCTGTTGTATAATTGTTTCTTTGTCCTGGAGATCACATATCGCCTGTAAAATATTAAGTCTGGACACTGTGGATGCAATTTCATCAGTTGTTTTTTACTTTAAGCATGATTTCACACTATTAGCAATATTTTTGTGATTTTTTATTTTATTTTATTTATTTTCAATTATTTATTTTTTGTTAATAGAAAATTTATTTGAATACATTAAAATATTATGTCATACATGTATAAATAATAAAGACAAAATGTAAATTAAAAAAATAAATTAATTAAAAGCTGAATAAGTATACTGAGCAAAAACTCACATCAAATCAATAAAATTATAATTAAACATATAACCAGACCCCAAAATATAATAAATACCATTAATTATATATGAATAATGCAAAAGCATCACTGTCATGGACATGTATTTCTGTTTAGCAGAATTTGCACTGTACTTTATAATGGTGTGATGCCTAAATTCACTTGTACCTATAATGGATAAATGCAACTAATAATTTAATAATTCCTGGCTGGCTGGCCCTATCATAAAGAGCTATATTTTGCAAGAATAAACTTTCCGCTGCACAGTATCTCCCAAATTAAATAGACTTAAAACATTAATGAAGGTGGAAATAATTTTTATTATGCATGACAGCATAATGCTACAGGAGACCTGAAACTAGCACAGTGAAAACGGTTGCCAGGGACAACGCTCAAATATAAACATTTGACCTCAGTATTCTGTGACTGGCCAATCAAAATCAAGTATTCTAGTGAGCCTTATAATAAATTAGCATAAAATCTCTTTTTCAAGACCGGTTGACGGCACACTGCAGCATAGCCAGCCGTTTCACTAACTGGGTCAGTGTATAAAGTAGTGCAGCGCTGACTGCAGTCTGCTAACAGGCTTGTCAAAAGGGATATTGGTTTAGGGCTTTTTGAAAACCAGTGAGGCAGATGTTTTCATTTCTTCTACAGGAACCCTGGATTCAATTCAAATTTATCTGTATAGCCCCTTTTACAATGCATATCATTTCTGAGCAGCTTTACAGAAAGCAAGCATGATTCGATTTATTACAGTAAATTAAAAGAGCATGCCACTTTCTTGCAAATAGGGTTTAAAAATTTTTTAATCCATTCACCAGAACTGGCGGGAGCACTTTTAGATTAGCTTAGCATAAATCATTGAATCAAATTAGACCGTTAGCATCTCGCTCAATTTAAAAATTAGTTCAGACAATTTTCTTGTTTAAAGCTTGACTCTTCTATATATACAGTGTGTACTAGGAAGGGATGCACCGATCCCGATACCTGGATTGGATATTGGTTCGATACCGCATATTTTTTCAGCTGGTATCGATCCAAATCCAAACTTGCGCATGCGCTATATTCATTGTAATTTATAAGCCAACAAAAGCCACAAAGGTATTCTACTAAAAGGCACTAGAAAGTTGTCATGTAGGCCTACTATATCCAAAATGTTTTAAAGCCGTTTCGTAGTTTAACGTGAAGCACAGATGAATATTCAAGTGGTTAAACTCATGTTCAGATCAGCGCTTCCCTCCGCTGCGCCTGTCAATCATTCTCCATTCATTCACAATTCAAACAGTGTGTATGTGTATATATATATATATATATATATATATATATATATATATATATATATATATATATATATATATATAAATATATAAATATTTTATTTAACCGACCTGTTTGTAAAACAAAATATTGGAATGTACTTGCATGTATATAGGCCATTTTATATATATATATATATATATATATATATATATATATATATATATATATATATATATATATATTTCAATATATATATATATACATGGACACATTTAATCTGACATGTCCATACCTAAATGGTTAAATGAGACATGTTTAAAGAGTCCCTATTATGTATTAAAAAGGCTAATATTTTGGCTTTGGGGTCTCCAACAACAATCTGATATGCATGCACGGTCAAAAAACACATTTATTGTCTTAAAATATGCATTTATTTTTACCTTATTATCCCAACGACTCTCAAATGATTCGTTCAGCGATACATTTGTTCCCAAACCCCTCCTTAGAGCGATGCTAATCTGCGCTGATTTGTCTGTTGTGATTGGTCGACTGCGTTCAGCAGGAGACAGAGAGAAATGCCCACTACGGCTTTTCAACAATTTTGAGGTAGTCAGAGTGCAAAGTGTATGTTTGAGCCCAGTGCAGTAATGCATTAAAGCAATGCAGTTTAACACCAGCATATTGCTCCATTCTCAACCATAAGTAAAAACAGTGGCACAAGTTCAGTTTTAAATCCACACAGCAGCAAAAGGCTAAAGACTCGATACTGCAACTATTCATTCAAACTACTATGATTCAACTCTTTTATAGATTAATCTGTAGTTTTTAACATAGTGTATTTTCAGATTTAAGCCTTTACTGGATATTTCACTTCACTTAGAGCTGTGTTACACCCTACATGGAGGGTAATTTTCAAAAACCCATACTAGAGGCTCTTTAAGTCGTTACATGCAACATCCTTCATTAATTCTCTTAGACAAGGAGAGATCTCCTGTTAAGTATCATACTTAAACGGGAAAATCATTTATGCAATGGAAAAGTTATAGAAAGCTTGAAGCATCAGAATTGGTACTTGCTATCGGCCAATCACCATGACAAGGAATTGGTACTTGGTATCGGCTGCAAAAATCCTGATCAGAGCATCTTTAGTAGAAGTCTAAAATTTCATTCATAAAGGTGTTAAAATGTCTTAAATTCTTATATTTAACATGGGTGTAACCTGCAGAAACCATGTGTTTTTAAAATGAAATAAATATAACCTTGTTTGCACTACTTTGTAACAAGTGAAAATCCTGATCTCAAACCTTTGGACTGGCAGTGTAGATCTAAATTAGGACAGCTATGGAGCCAAGTGTAAAAACACTCGACCTTCTTTGGTGGACTTTGCTAGGTACTTCCAGAAGACACACACACACACACACACACACACACACACACGTGTGTGTGTGTGTGTGTGTGTGTGTGTGTGTGTGTGTGAGGGCAAGCCATAATGGAGCGGTGCGGACTGTATGTTTCATCAGCGTGTGACATTGTGTGTGAATCTGTGGGTTTCATATGTCTCAGCCTGGTGTCTGTTGCCATGGCGATGTTTCCTCTTTCCTGTTTATGAACACGGCTAGTGAAGTGAGTCAAGGTCATGTTCCCCCTGCAGGACCACACCTCACACAAAGACTGACGACGAGTCCTTTATTCACACATGCTAATGCAAACACAGGAGGAGCCAACATTACACACACACACTCTCCTTGTGCTCGCTATTGTTTCATATTTCATTAGGATCATTTTGTGTGATGTGATTTTGAATGCACGGTGTCAGATCAGAAGGACAGATGGTCCTGTTGTCTTTTAACCTGAGTCTTGCTCTCACACCATCATGCTGATAATACATGCTTGACTCCTCCCCTCTCTGTTCTTTCTAGACCAATGGGAAAGGCTCTCTGTGGTGCGTTCATCCTGAGTTTCGGCCCATGCTGATGCAGGCCCTGAAGAAGCAGCACTTCCCCAATGCTCATGCCTTCTGCACCCCGCCTGCCTCCCCTCCTAGGTATCAACACTGGCCTCGGTGTACAACATACAGTTCATCTAGGCTTATGTCTCTTACTCTGTCGTTCCTTCTATCAGTCAATGTGCTGTTATATATTTCTATTGTTTTATCATTGTCAATTATTTTATTGTTGTCTGTCATTCTATTGTTCTTTATTTTATCCTTGTCTGTTTGTCTATCTATTATTCTATCAATAATTCTATCTATTGTTCTAACTTTTTATTGTTCTTTTCTGTAGTTCTATAGTACTAAATTTCTAAAGTTTTTGTCCATCCGTCTGTCTGTCTGTTCATTCGTTCTATCGTTCCAACCATCCATTCTACTGTTCTATCTATCCATTTATCCATCTATTTGTCTGTCTGTCCGTTTGTTCTATTGTTCCATCCATCCATCCATCCATCCATCCATCCATCCATCCATCCAACAGTCAGTCAGTCAGTCAGTCATCTGTCTGTCTGTTCATTTGTTCTATCGTATATCTTATATATTATTCACATATTTTTCTATCCATCTGTTCTACTGTTTTTTTTAATAATTTATACTACTGTTCCATTCATGTGTTCTATCCATCAATTCTATTGCTTTATCCATTGCATTCTATTGCTCTTTCCATCCATTCTATCGCTCTTTCCAGCCCTAGTATCATTCTATCCCTCCGTTCTACTATTCTAACCATCCGTTTCATCATTTGTACTATCATTTAACCCATGCATTTTGTCAGTCCCTTCTATCGCTATATCCATCCTACTATCATTCTATTGTCTGTTCTACTGTTCCATCCATCCATTTAATCATTTATACTATCAATCTATCCATGCCTTCCATCCATCCATTCTATGTCTCTATCCGTCTGTTCAATCTATCTGTTCTACCATTCTTTCCATCAGTTATTCCATTCTATTCATCATTCTAATGTTCTATTTAACATTCTGTCTGTTCTATTTTTCTGCTGTTCTGTCATTCTTTCTACCGTTCCATTAATTTATATTTCTATTGTTTTAGTAGTTGATCATTTTATTATTATCTTAATTTCAATTCAAGTTTATTTGTATAGCCCTTTTCACAATAATTATGGTTCCAATCATTCTATCCATCATTCTGTCATTGTGTTCCATTTTGTAGTTCTTTATTTTATTTTTCTCCATACATCTCTCTTTTGTTAATCCCATCATTCTAATATTTCTTTTTTTCTATTGTTCTGTCATTATATTGCTGTTTATCAATCCAACTATCATTCTGTTTTTCTCTTATTCTATCTTTCTGTCTGTCATTTCTATTCTTCTGTGTTGTTCTTTCTATTGTTTTATTATTCGATCGCTCCGTGGTTTCAAAGTTTTATCTAAAGATTCTGAGTATTGAGGGTTTAATTAGTCTTGATATTCAAACCTTTATTTTGATTGGTCTAATTCATCTGTTTTTCTGTCATTCCTTTTATATTTCTGTACATCTAATGTTATGTCTGTCATTCTTTCTATAATTGTAATGGTCTGTTTTATTACATAGGACTTGAAGTGTTGTAATATTTTTGACTTTTTCTCTCTGCCGTGTAGTGCCTCATCTCCTCCTCATCACCTCTTCACTTCGGAGCAGGGCTGTGCCCTAAAAGGTTAGTAGACTTCTTCATTACAGGTCTGTACAGAAAGTCCATGATCTAGTCACATCTGTCACACACACCATTTTCAGACATGTCATTATACATTGAGGTCTATCACTCATCTCAGCTCTTTGTGTTCCACTCACCCTCTATTTGGTACAGTCGAAACTGCACATCTCTTTCCTGTGTTTGGTAACCAAGGCACTGGTACTTTGAAATTAGAGCGAGAGACTGTTTTGCTCCTGGGTGGAAGTGACTCATTCATTTAAACACACACACACACACACACACCACACAGTCAATACTTGTGTGCATCACACATTTCTTTCTCTTTGCAGAATGTGATTTTGATGCTGCCACTGCCATGATGCTGTTAAAGTCTGCCTCTGAGCAGAACATTGACTCATGTAAGAGACCACCATACACCATCATATACATCTTTTTTCTCCTCACTTTTTGTTTGTCTCTTTTTTGTTTTACATCAGGTTTATTTTCATCAGGACATGCATCTATTTACCTGTTTGCATAATCTCAGCAATCATGTGTGTGAGGGAACATGTGTGACAGTGAAGACTGGAGGAATGACTGATTGTTTAGCTTTGCCACTGAAACTCAACTGTTCTGTTTTGGTTTTATCAGTCAATAAATTATGTTCAGATAAAGTATTTGAAGAGAAAAAAGTATAATAAAATGGCTGATGAAATATTCAAATTAAATTAGAAATGAGATGTATTTAAATTATCCTGAAATTGTTATACTTTAATTTCCATTGCAATAAATATATTTCAGTTAATATAACCACAGCAACATTTTAACAGTTTAATAATGAATAGTAGCTTATTACCTGCTTATTAAGATTTTAACAATTTATTTGTGCTTATGAAGTTTACAAGCACTTTATATATGCACAAGTACTTACATTGTTTTATATACGTTATTCAGCAACATGGGCAAATAATGTTGAACGAGTCACATACTGTATTTATAAGGAATACATTTTTCCCAAAAATGTAATTTCTGTCCTAATGTAATTAATGTCATTTCTGTTCTAACGTTTGAGAACCACGCAAGAAGTATGATTTGCATGCATGTTTTTTCCTCAAAGAGACGACAGCCATGACAGGAGCCGCACCCGCACATCCTTTAAATGATCATAACGCATTTTACAGTTATGATTACGACACGCATTTGATATGATTTTTCTTTCATAGAGAACACAAAGTGTTGCACATGAAAATAAATGTCAATAATAATAAATTTCAATAATGATTCCTTGCATTTACAATTTTTAAAAAAAGTTAAATTGAAATTGTTTGTTTAAATTCAACACCTAAATTGTTGGCAACAAATTTGCAGACATCATTTTTTTCAGTGTACACTAGCCTATATAATATTGAATAAAATGCAAGAGGGAACCTGATAATGACAAATGTCTGATTTTACCAGTGAAAAATGGTCTAATAATGTTGTCTGACAGATTGCAAGCATATGTCTCACACATAATAATTTGGCTTTAGAATTATGAATAGTTGTATTCTGATGACATCACTTTTCTGTGATTTAACAACCAGGTCAAGATTTAGGTTTATTCAAGTCCACCATTCAAAGTCTATAAATAAAAATTTGTATTTTAACCAACAGTAGACCTGCACATAGGCATAATATTATTGTTGTTTTACCATATGTTTGAGCATAATAATAATAACCTATTGATATTAACCTTTATTTTACATCTACAGAATCATGAGAAAATCGTGATCTTTAATTCAAGCAAAAAAAAATAGTGATTAAAATTTTTGCCAGAATCAAGCAGCCCTACTACATTCCCAATCATACCCCATACCTACACCTAACTACTATATTAATAACCCTTAGCTGTTTTTCTGCCAGTGTTTTTTTTATCATTATTATTTTTTTTTGTCAGCCACTGCCAGCATTTTTTGATGATTGTCATGTAATTTGACAGCCTTCGGAATACTTTCGGCTTGGAATAAATGACATATTATATATCAAAATAAAGAACCAACCCTCCGTTTAAAAAACAAAAACAAAATCTTTTTAATTTGTCTTAATGTGTTCATATTTTGTACTACCTTAAATGCAGCTAGGTTCCATGAAAAATGTAAAGGTAAAATAGCAGGGAAAGCAACAAATTAGGAGTTTATTCGACTAAAAGTCTTATTCAATTCAGTTCTATTCATGTTTATTTATATAGCCCTTTTACATTGTAGATTGTGTCAAAGCAGCTTAATTTAAAAGTTCTAGTAAAGTCCAGATTTTAGTGTTGGACGGTTAATGGTATGTTAGTAGTGAGAATTGTACCTTCAAATAAAGTAAAATAAATGGATATCAATGTAAAATATGTAACAAAAATTAGTATATTTTTAGTTTTTGGGTTATTATATTATATTATATTATATTATGATATATTATAACTTTTTATTACTTTTTGTTTCTTATTTTTGTATTTCCTGCACATTTTCAAGTTTTAGTAAATTTGGTTTTATATTTATTAGTTCACGCAGTTCTGTATAAAATCATCTCTCCTCATCATTTACTACTCCAATTTTTTCAGACCCAGAAGAACAAGAAGGACCCATCGATCTCTCCAGAAGGGACTTGGTGGTGGTGAGTCGGGATCCAAAGCAGGATCACAACTACAGCAGCACCCCTGCCCCTCCCTGCCCTCGCCAGATGCCTCTTTCACAGCCGCTCAACTTCAGCCTAGGTTTGCACCACGATCAGGAGAGACGATGGCCACACAATCCACTGCAGGGTCAGCTTTTAGGGAAACGCAGCCGAAGAGATTCACGTCCCGATGTGGATGAGGAGCTCAAGGAGGCGGCTGGATCGCTATTACACCTAGCCGGTATTCGCACCAGTTTAGTCGCCTCAAGACGCAAGAGCAGGAAACTCAGTAGGAAATGAACCCAATTCTGTAACTTCATCCTGTGGCCTGCCCAACCTCTCTATCTCGCTCTCTCCTCTGGTTTGGTGTTTCTTCCTTTTCATTTCTAGTTTTTGGGGTGTTTTCTTTTCGTCTTTTTAACCGGGATTACATCCCCGGTCCACTCATCAAAACATGGCAATACAAACACAGGAGAGAAAAGCCATACTGACATGTTTTATGTACAGAAAACAAACAGCCCACGTCATTTTGAGTTCATACGAAGAGGATTTGAAGATGTTAATCATTACAAAAAAAGACACTGGTTAAAGAAAAAAAGATTTGCATGCTTCCACCTCTAAATCAACACAAAACTTATTTATATGAAGAAAAAAAACGAATGCATGGATTGTACAAGCTCCCACGCTTCTTCACCATAGAAGGAAACAAAAAAAGCTTAAGAAAACATCAATTTGAAAGTGCCATTGATTTTTGGATCATACTATAAACATGATACAAAGAAGAAATGCAATAATTAGTCCACCTAAATACCTGTAGTTCTTTTATTTTTGTACTGCTGGTTTATATCTCATGTGTTGTGACGGCATGCCCCTGGGAGCCTTTCGCTGCCGCAGTTATGATGTCAAAGTCACATGACTCTTCTCGTGCATCCTGATTGGATCATTTGTGTGTCCCCGCCCCCCGATCCTGATCATTATGACTGGAGGACAGCTCGAAAGAATCAGCTTGCATGCACCTCCACCTCAGTGTTTCCCAGACGCCAGCGATCTCAATAATCAGGTTTTGGACTTGATTCATATGTGTACTGCTTGCTTTTGGAGCAGCCAATGACAAAACAAGAACCTCTTTAGCTCCTCTATAAGATTCAAATCAACTCAAAAAGTCATCTCCACCCAAAGCAGGCTTTTGTTTTGGTAGAAAACGTGAGGAATTGTCCAGCAGGGGGAGCTCCATGAAACGCCACTTTCCCACTGCTGCTTTTGAGGCCTCCAGAGTCGTGAGGAAACCAGAAACAATGTGAATTGCACTATAAACGCGCCTGCAAACAGGAGAGAGACGTTCTCCCATCACTGCGGCTCACAGATGGTGCTGACTTTGGGAGAAATAATCAATGGGAGAGCCAAACGGACGTAAAGTGTGCTCCTAAGATGTTTGATTTTTTTTTTTTTTTTTTTTTTTTCGCCAAAGCTGCTGCTCACAAAACTTTGCCTGGCTGTGTGTGACCTTCGGTTTGTTCCTGATTGGGTTTTTAAGTGTTTGTTTGAGACTACATTAGGATTTTATATACCCACGCATGTGAAATTGTGAACTATAACTGCCACTTGCCCCATTACACTGGCAAAACCTGAACTTCCTGAATGAGTTGATTATTTAAAAAACTGCCTATCCTCGTGAAGCTCTTTCGCTGTCACTTTAATCATCGCTGCCAATCCTTCTCCTCCCGGCTGTACATAGTGCTAATACAGAATGCAAGTATTAACGCAGGGAGGGGAGCCGAGCAGTAGTTTTAGAATTTGAGGCCAATTTTGAAAACCGCTGCCTATTATTATTATTATTATTATTATTATTATTATATTATTATTATTATTATTGAGATATGGTCCACTAACTGAGTTGCCACTTCCCCATCAGTTTTGTCATGTTCGTCTGCTATGAAGGCGGCAGGCTGAACCTGATTTTTGATTTTGTAAGCTAACCTCTGTTAATAAAAGGTTTATAAAGTTTATTTTTGCCAAAGATATGCAACTGTTGCATTATATATGGTATTAAAGAATAAAAGAGTTTTTTTTCTTTTACTGATTTAGTGTTTGTTGTTCACTGACTCCTCAGATAATTAGTTACAAAAAGACAAGAAAGCCTAATAGACAGTTCCTCTTCACAAAACATGTCATTGGTTAATTATAGACCATTTCAATGTGGTGATGTTCATGGACCAATGACATTTCCTGCTTGTCATCAAACAAGAGGCGATTCAATCATAACCTAATGTTAAAACAGCTATCATAACATTATTTATCAATATGTGGCTCTTTTTGGCTCTGTTTACATCCTTCAAAATGGTCTATAGTAAAAGTTATTTCTTTTTTGACATTTTTGCATTCACTTGTGTTTTACTGCTAAACTTTCATCATTATTTCAGTTTATTATGGTTTAGCCTCTGACTGCTGAATGCAACATCATTAGGATGCAAAATAAAACATCATATGAGTCTACAGGTTGTTATTTAAAGGCCCAGTCCCATTAAAGAACACTAGCTCTGACACTAATGTGTGCTATAAGTAGGGCCAGACGGAATATGCGGACATGTTTGGCTATTTCTGCGGAGAATATTAGTAAAAATTATTATTAATTATTGAAAAGTTATTTTGGGAGTGTCATACTTAAAACCTTAATATATAAAATAAAAAATAATATATTTTTATCTTTTATTTATTGTTAAAAATTCAAATCCAATTAGATTCACTTCATTTGGTAAATAAAGCAAGTTTGTCATATATCTAGTAAAAGACAGAAAAAAATATTGTACACACTGCATTGTACATAAATCAGATGAACATTTTCACAGTCAATAACATTACTGAAATTAATTTTAAAAAGCTGAATAAATATAGATTTACACACATTTACTCAAGTAAAGAAACACAATTGATGATAGGCTAAAAATCTGCGGAACATCTGCGGAATTCTGCGCGCTCAGTTTCCGGGTGGGCCTAGTTATAAGCACACTGCAGTAACGTAGAATGTAAATGGTAGTTGAAGTAATATGTAAATACATCAATTAGTTTTATTATAATTATTAGCCCCCCTTGATTTTTTTTTAATTTATTTATTATTATTTTTTTATTTCCCAAATGATGCTTAACAGAGCAAGAACATTTTCACGGTATGTCTGAAAATATATATTTTTTTCTTCTGGAGAAAGTCTTATTTTTATTTCAGCTAGAATAAAAACAGTTAATGTTTTTTTTAACCATTTTAAGGTCAATGTCATTAGCCACTTTTAGCTATATATATTTTTCCACAGTCTACAGAACAAACCATCTTTATACAATAACTTGCCTAATTACCCTAACTTGCCTAGTTAACCTAATTAACATAGTTAAGCCTTTAAGTGTCACTTAAAGCTGTATAGATTTGTCTTGAAAATATCTGGTAAAATAGTATGTACTGTCATCATGGCAAGGATAAAATAAATTAGTTATTATAGATGAGTTATTAAAATTATCATGTTTAGAAATGTATTGAAAAAAATCTCTCCGTTAAACAGAAATTGTGGAAAAAAATAAATGGAGCAAATAATTCAGAGGGTTTAATAATTCTGACTTCAACTGTGCGTTGGCTGTTGGCATATACAATTGCATGGAAGATGTATGAAATTAAAAACTTGCCACTTTTAATAAATAATTATTATAGTATTTGAAATTAAGCTATATTACGTAACAACATTTGTTAGACCGATCAAACAGTTCAACTGATAGTTCATTCAAAATTGAACACTCTGAAAAGTCATTTACTAACACTTCACCTTTTCTATGCTACTTTGATTCATTTTGGCATAGTTTACCCAAAGATAAACATTCTGTCATTATATACTCACATTTACTTTAACTTGACTTGATTTAGATCTTTTTATATGCTGAAGAATGTTGGAAACCAGGAACTATTGACTTCCATCATGTTTGATTTTCCCTCTATGGATGTCTATAGTTACCGGTTTTCAACAGTCTTCAAAATATCCCTTTTTATGTTCAACAGAAAAACTTAAACTGGTCTAGAACAAGTCAAGAGTAATTAAATATGCCAGTATGTTTTTTTGGGGGGGACAAAATGAACAATTCCGTTAAGACCGCTTTCTTAAAGGGATAGTTCACCCTATCATTTACGCACTATTTTCCGTCAAGATTTTTCCAAACCGTTATAAGCTTCTTTTTGTTCCTGTTAAGCTCAAAAGAAGATTTTGAAGAATGCTGGGAACTGGTAACCATTGACTTTCATGTTTTTTTGATATTCCTACAATGGATGTCAATTGTTACCTGTTTTTAGTTTTCTTTAAATTATATGCTTGTGTACTCAACAGAAAACAAGAAGCTTATAAAGGTTTGGAAACTCTAGAGGGAGAGTAAACGGTGAGTAAATGTTTGGGCGAACTATCCTTTAAAAAAAGTGGAGTTAATGCAATTGTTTATGTTCACCCACCAAAAAATACTATCCTGCCATATTTAATCACTCTTGACTTGTTCCAGAGCAGTGTGAGTTTTTCTGTTGAACACAAAAGGAGATATATTGAAGAATGTTAAAAACTATTGACATTGATAAAAAGAAAATCAAATACTTCAGAAATCAATGGTTACATGGTTTCCAACATTCTTCAGCATATAAAAAGGTCTGAATCAAGTGAATGACCTTGTTAATAAATGTGATGAGTAAATGACAGAAAGTTCATCTTTGAGTTGCCACTTTTAACAATGATGATATAATTTCAAGATTATCCATCTTTTTTTTTTTAACTAAGCTATCATGTCAAGCACCTCGCTTTGTCAGATGCAGTCATTCACGCTCAAGCTCAGTTTGGAGAATGCAGATAGAATACTTGATGTGTACTATTCAGTAGTAATAGAAATCAAGTATGCAGTGTTGATATTCAAGATGTGCTTCAGACTTTTGTTTGATTATACCACCATCTAGTGGACAGTAACAGCCACAGACTGTTTTGAAATGCACTTTTTGTAACAATTAACCTTAGCGCTGTTTAAATAATTACGATTTATTGTAAAAGCATGTTTTATTTGAAAGATTTCTGCTAATATTAAAAGCAGTGTTTATATTATAGTATCCATCCGCATGTTTACAGACTATTTTAAAGGACACCTATGATGCGAAATCAGCTTTTGTAAGCAGTTTGAACAGAACTGTGTGTTGATATAGTGTCTCCACTGTCACATTGGAGAGATATAAACACGACAAGTCTCTTTTTTATTTCCTGACTAATAGTTGTAATATAATAATAATAAATAATATCAAGGTCAATGATAAATCTTAAATGAAAACTCTGAACTAAGATCTTCTGCTCGTGGCCGTTCAGAGATTTAAGAATGCACATGTTGTAAATTAGTATTAAATTTACTTTTGTTTTTAAAAATGAAATAAGTGCTGAGAATTGTGTAAAACATTACCTTAAAAGCCGCAAAAGATCTTGTGTGTGTGTCTACTTTCTGAATGACTCGTTTTAAACAGTCCAGACAGCGCTTTACTTCTTTGTTGAATGATTCAGTTGTTTGAACCAGTCGTCTCACTCATTACAGTACATTACTACCACCTACTGGAAGATTTAAACTTTTTTTTTTGAAGATTATTTTCATTTAAAAAAACATATTTTCATATTAAAATGCAAAAAAAAAAGTACAATAAAATTCAATCTGTGAAATAAATGGATAATTCACACATGCATAATTAATTATGTCATAATTTACACACTTTTGTGCCGTTTAAATCAGTATAAGTTTCTTTCTGTAATAGATTATTTTTGTTAATGTTTACTTGCTTCTTTTCACATTTACAGTAATGATAATTGATCAATCATTCTTTTGTGGTAATTTTTGAGTCAATTTTATCATTTTAAACATGGAATTTTCTTAATAATTTGCTTAACTCAATTCAGGATAACCAATAATAACTTTTTAATGGGCATATTTTTATTTTTCCACATGATCGTAAGTATTACTATATTATAAGTATTACTGAGTGTTATTATTTTTTCATTATTTATCATGTTAAATTTTTTTTTAGAGAAGAGCTAACAGCTTGCATTGATCCATCTGTGAGCAGTAATTTTGAAGTTTCTTCTGGTCATTCAGGTGATATATTCTGTCTGTAGCATCAGGCCAACCTTCTGCTGTCTAGAATCGGGTGATTTGTCTGTACAAATCCATAAATTTCTGCATAAATAAAACAATAAATATCTATCTGCACATTTGTTTAATTGTTTTATTTATGCAGAAATGTTTGTATTTGTTTACTTGACTTATTTGCCTATTTATTTTATTTATGCAGAAAATTGTGGAAATTATTTAATAGTTAATTGATTTATTTGCGTATTTATTTACTTATTTATTTATTGTTTTTTGCAGGTTTCGTCCTCCATACATACGTTTCATTTTAACAAAATAGTTTTAAACAGATTAAAGTTGTTCACTGAACAGCTTTAGAAATGGCAATTGGTAAATGGTCAAATGAGATATTGCAAAAAGAAATGACAAACTACAAAAATATATTTTATATTTTATTTTTATGTTTCTTTGGATTTTTCCTGTTTATTACATCTTATTAAATTGTTTCCCCCAGTGTTAACCTGGGTGTGTTAATTTTTGAACTGTGAAGGTCTATTTTTTGTTTAAATAGTTTCAGTGTTGGCTTTGATGCTGTAAATTAATGTAGGGCCTATGCTTCAGTGTGCAAAGAGCAAATGTTTGCCTGCATGACAATGGCCAGATCTGGTCGGTTTAATTATTATTATTATTATTATTATTATTAAAGCATTATTAGAATTAAATAGTTATTGGTAGTTAATGAGTTAACATGAATTAACAGTGAAACTTTATTTTCATTAACTAACGTTAACAAAGACGAATAAATACTCTAGTAAATGTAGCCTATATTGTTCAGTGTTTGTTGATGTTTGTAAATTCATTAACAAACAAATAAATAAATAAAGCTATGTACCAAAAAGTACCAGATAAGTTCAAATATTGTTTTTGTAAAAAAATGAAACGGAATCACTAAACTCAAACTTCATTCTTCTTCAATAAAGTCCAAATTTTAACGCTGTCAATATTAACACTGAAAAAAAGTGTTGCATGCAGAACTGTTGCAAACAATTTATTTGTGTTGAATTTAAACAATCAAATTAAATTGAATAATGTTCAACTTGATGTGTTTGTTTAAATTCAACACAATTACATTGTTTACAACCAACATAATAAAATTGACTAAATCCAAGGAATCATCTTTGAATATTTTTTTTCAGTAAATAAATAGCCTACGACTTTTCCGGAGGAAAAAAAAATAGAAATAGAAAATACTGTGATAAATGTCCTTGCTCTGTTGGTAATTATTTGCAAAAGAATTAAACATTATTTTTAAGGACTTCAAATTGTATTTGTAATTGAATTTGTCTTCAATTGTATATAATTCGAATACATTTAACCTGAAAATTCTATTTAAAACAACTTGTATATCACCATTTAGATTATTGAGCTAAGATTGTTTTTATGTTATTTGCATTTATGCTTACTCCATTTAATTCAAAAGTAAACACACGCGAATTAACCTTTCGAACATGTAGAATCTCGTGACGCGTAGAACGTTTAGAATCTCTTCAAACGTCACCGGTGACCCTGCAGCACAAACGCAATTAACTTTGTTGGTTTGCAGTTGGTTTGCAAAAACGATCTCTGATTTTGTTAAAGTGAACACATTGTTGAATGATGGCGGATGGATTCAGTATCAACGAGTTGACTGTGATGGAGAAGCCAAAGCAAAAACGGCGCTTTAAATTTCCCTCTTTCCTAAAGGCTGCCCGGAAAATCAAAATCTTCCGGAGCCAGAAACAGACGCAGTTCAAGCAAGCGCCTGAAAGAGGCAGTGATGGTAAGTCATATTTATAAAGTGATATGAGTCTTCGTATTCAGGAGTTTCACTGATTATTGAGTGCCGTTTTCGTCCAGTTTCAGCAGGCAGACTCCTAATTAACAGACCTTAAACCGGCCTTAATTTAGGCTGAAGCTCCTGAAATCAGGCCCAAAACATTTTTAAGTTGTCCCAATGAAATCTCAAGAATTGTGTTGTTTCAGCTTACTTTAATTAGTTTGAACAAGTAAAAAGTGTATAGAATATTACAAACATATTAATTTGCTTAGATATGTAATATGAACATAATTTTAAAGTTTTTGGTGCATTGACCAATTGTGTAAGCAGATTTTGAATTTGTGGTAACAAAAGCTTAGCTACGGTAATCATTTGCGTTTTTCTTTTAGTTTAATTTGTTGTGAAACTTTGGTAATGTGAATGTTCTACAAATTGTATTTTAATTAAATTTTAAAATGTGTTATCTACATTCATTTCTCTTAATAGGTGAGGAGGAGGAAGTGAAAACTAAGAAGAGTAAGGTAGCAAATTTCTTCAAAGCTACCACAAAACTCTTTGGGATGTACTGCTTTCGTCAGGCTGAGGAGCAGCTCTCTGACTCTGAAGGCTCTGATGGTAAATCATCATATTTATTTGTTGCTATATAAGTTTATAATGTTATAAATAATTTGTATATATAATAATTTGTATGTTTAAATAATTTGTATTAATTTCCCTTTACCCAAAGTTTAACATCGCCTTGAGTGTAAAATTGACTAACTGCAGTCATTTCTCTAGCAGATGACTTTCTGTGCCAATCCCAGTCTGATCAGAGTCTGGAGGTTGCTCCGGACATCGTTCATGAAGTGAGCTGTGTGATGGACGACCTAAAGGTGAGTATGTAAAGATGAGCAACTGTTTTAATCCATGTTCTCCTGATGCTTTCACTAATATGTCAAGAATCTGTTTCAGGATTTTGAGAGGAAATTTATGATATCATAACATGTGAATTGACTTAGTTTGGTTTTGTTTATTAGGTGGACGAGACAAATGACTTGACACTCAACGTAGAGTACGTCAAAAAAGAGGAGGAGGAGGAGGAGGAGATGAGAATGAATGATGCGAAGAACACAGAGGAGGACAAGATCAAAAAGAGAAAGAGGAGGAGGAGGAATAGGATGAAAGAGGAGAAGGAGATGAAGATGAAAGAGGAGAGGTTGACAGAAAACGAAGAAAAGGAGGAGAAGAATGAGGAGATGGTGAAGACGAACAAGAACAGAATGAAAGAAAATGAAGAGAAAGAGGAGAAGAATGAGGAGATGGTGAAGATGAACAAGGACAGAATGAAAGAAAAGGAAGAGAAAGAGGAGAAGAATGAGGAGATGGTGAAGATGAACAAGGACAGAATGAAAGAAAAGGAAGAGAAAGAGGAGAAGAATGAGGAGATGGTGAAGATGAACAAGGACAGAATGAAAGAAAATGAAGAGGAGGAGGAGATTAAGGAGATGGTGATAAAAGAGGAGATGATAACAGACAATGATGAGGTGGAGGAGGAGAATGAGGAAGAGAGGGAAAAGACAAAGAAGGAGAAAGAGAAGAGAAAGGGACAAAAGAAAAGAAACAGCAAGATAATCAGACGGATGATGAGGAGGAGAAGCAAGAGAAGGAGAATGAGGAGAGTTTGAATCAAAATAATAATTAAAAAAAAAAAATAAAAAAAACTGGATGGACAACTCTTAATTTATGGTCTAAAATATTAATATGCAAAAAAATTGCATGTCAAAAGAGTGCATGAACTGCTCTATCCTTCTGGCCTAGTTAATGTGCACAAATAGTTGTACACAAAAGGGCAAGCACAACACAAGTTCTACTGAGAAAAGAAAACACTAAGGGCACATTAACTTGATCAAAACAGTAATAAAAGTGAATTAATCAATGAGGACATGAAGAGCACACTGTTAACAATTTCCTGTAGAATCTACAGTAACTCACTGGCAGCAGTTCAACAGTAATTTACTGCAAATCAGCAAGAATACTGATATTTATCTGCAATATGTGTATTTATAGTATTGTATTTCTTTATTGTAAAATCTACAGTCATTTTCACAATGCTTTAAAATAATACAGGAAATTAAAATGCAGGAACATACTGCATAACTGTCCTACAGTAAAAGACATTTAATTTTACAGTAAATACAATTACTGTAAATCATTAACAGCATTTATGAATGATCATGTGACAATAAAGAAAATTCAGCTTTGCATCACATAAAAACGTACATTTAAATACATATTCAAACAACACATTTACTTTAAACTGAAATTAAAATGGCAGAATTTTGATTAATTGTTATATTAAATGATTTGTGCCTCAGAAGATGAAGACGAAATGCATTGAATGCTAGGTGGGTTTTGGAGGTAAGACCACTCTTTGAGGGCGCAAATTACACTTCTGAGAAGTAATAATTCTTAAAATTAGACTCAACTTTGTCATTACACATGTACAGGTACAAGATAACACAATGCAGTTATAGGTCTATGACCAGGAGTGCAATAGCAGTAAGTGCAGGATATAAGATATGTAAATACCAAACACCAAACCACTTTCATGACAGACTTTGGCTGAGGGATTTTAGAATGACCAAACCAACATTTCAGATGTTTTACAATGTGGTGGTCAGTGCGCTGGTTTGTCCATGCCGTCCCATTGTGTCATTTTTTTGTGGTCACATGCTCTGGTGAAGCAAAATCTAATCACTTTTTTTGGTGTGCATGCCAAAATTTATTCAGTAAATCTGTTTCCTGTGTAGATAATGCACATTTATTATTATCAAATATATATTATAATATTAAAAAAAAAAAATTAGCAGTAGACAATTAGGAAAATGATCATGTTGCCTTAGTTAATTTGATCCCCTGATTGACCAAATAATGGACTCAAAAAGACAGAGTCTCACTGATTCGCCTTCTGCAGCTAAAAGTAATAATAATAATAATTGCTTACATTTATATGACGCGAGGGCAGCCGTATTGCGCCAGACTGCACACCACACACCAGCTGATTGGTGGAGTGGAGACAGAGTGATGAAGCCAATTATGATATGGGGATGGTTAGGAGGCCATGATAGACAGAGGCCTGTGGGCCAGGATGCCGTGGTTAAACCCCCACTTTTTTTTTTTAAAGGACATCTTGGTTTTTTTTTTCAACAACCACAGAGAGTTATGATCTTGGTTTAACATCTCATCCAAAAGACGGCACTTACTGAGCAGTATAGATGAATCACCATGTTTGTAAACATTCAGGATGCGCACGCAGGGAGGTGGCGGAAAAAATCCAGGAGCTCTAGCATTTACTGCGAGGGACTGACATACGATGTGGTACAATTTGTTGTTGTCTTAGAAATAAGATTGATTACATGTTATATATATATATATATATATATATATATATATATATATATATATATATATATATATATATATATATATATATATTATTTACATAATGCTTTCAGAGTATTATAACAGCTCGTCACCCAGTGATAAGCACAGTGATTCGGCAAAATTAACGTGTTAAAGTGAGCGGCGTTCATCTGACAGGTTCATTTGCGATAGCACTCTCCCAATTAGTATTGGAAAAGACGAAATGACCAAGCATCCAGCCTGAAATATACAATCTCATTGAAGCTCCAATGAGAGAAGTTAAAGACCTACAAGTCTTTGGATGCCAACAATGTTGTTCTTTGTGGTCATGTGCAAGAAATGATGTTCCATGATTACAAAACTTTAAGTGCTAAAAACCAAGAATTCCTTAATAATATAATTTTATAAAAGTATTATAAGTAAACTCTAAACAGCAAAATCATATTAGCAGCCAATGACTATCAAAGTACAACATTGTTCACAGTCAAATAAACAGTCAAATAATGTTGTTTTCAAGTCACACTTGCAGGTTATTTCAGACCGAATATTCAAAGTGCCGTGGTAAACATTATAGGGAGTGTGTCACAAGTTGTCACTGAATGAATGTGTGAATATAAAACCAAGTTTACCTTAATAAGTTACACTTTCACATTTCATTCTTAGCATTCAGTGTCGGCAGTTTAATTCACCATATGTAACAAAAGCTGCAATCAAAAACCAGCAATGTGTATGATTCAGCATAGCATGAACTTACCTGATATAACGTGAGAACTGCAACATCGAGCATTTCTAATTAGTTTGTCACTTCATTCAGCTCCCTTTTAGCCAAAGACGTTTGCAGTTGGCATTAAAGCAGTGTGGTGTACGATAAAAGTTAAGTTTTCTATTTTTGGAAATTTGGCATCCTACCGCACAACATGACATGTTTGCTATTGCAGCCAGTATTTTATTTTTTTGCAACCGGGGACCCATGTGACGTAGGTTGGTAATTCATCTATATAGTCCCCCTCACTTTACTGCAGCATTAGAGCCCACACAGACCGCAGGTTGAGCGCCCCCTGCTGGTATCACTAACACCACTTCTGTCAACAGCCTAGCTTTCCCATGTGGTCTACCATCTAGGTACTGACTGGGTGCAGCCCTGCTTAGCTAGCTTCAGTGGGCAACCATGTGACAGTTGCAGAGAGCTAAACGCTGACGTACCAAGCATACTGGACCCAAGTGAGGAAGTAATGATCAAAGCATACTAGACCCAGGTGAGGAAGTCCCAAATATTTTGAGTTGCAGCGCTAGCAATGGAAACATGAAACACCAAGATAGTTACCAGAACTATGGTTTTATTCCATTTTCTTAAAGCAAAGAGTTTGTGACCCAGCCACAGTGCATTATCTGTGCCAAAGTTCTTGCTAAGTAATGCATGAGGCCATCAAAATTAATGAGACATTTGCAGACGACTCATTCTCAATACAGTGACAAGCCCAGAGCATTTTTTGAGTGCAAGGCGAAAGAATTGACATACACCCAAAATTAGATGAGGGATGTCACAGCTACTGTAAAGAAACTTTTACAAATATTGTAATCTATCACAGTTGCTGGAAAAAAAATGCCAAAGCAAAGAGAGGGCACACAATTGCAGAAACTTTTGCCATTTTGCTGTATTTTCTGAGGGAAAATGAGGTCTCAGGCAAAAAAAAACAAAAAAAAATAAATAAAAAGGTTGGGAACCACTGGTGTAGATAATGGTGATGGCATGCTGCTATAAATATATACACATGAAAGTCAGGTTTTCCTCAAAAGATATGTAAATAATGGTTTCATTGTGTTCAACAGAAGAACAAAACTCAAGCAGGTTTGTAAAAAGATGAGTAAACGGTGACAGATTTTTCATTTTTGCCTGACCAAGGTCATAACAGTTTCTATAAGCTCCTTCTGGCTTCTCTGTGTGTGGTTTTCTCACTGTCCACCGTTCCCTTGACTTTCAGCATTGAACCCCTGGCCTTGATACATGCGCCATATCTTCATAACAGATTCCTCTTCTCAGTGCTCTTCCTCAGCCCATTTGAGGCTTGGGTTCAGGGTGGTTTTAGTGTAGCACAGCTGCTGGAACTGCCACACACTCCCACAACACACACACACACACACACACACAACAGCAGAACAACAGCTCTCTGTCTCCCAGCTTAAACATTATTGCAGGTGCAGAGATAAGAACTGAGTCAAGTCTTGAAGAATCAATCTCACTCCTAACTTGCCCTTTATATTGTGCCTCAGTTTGTGAAAGGAGGGTTTTCCTTTACAGCGGAGGATCTTTAAGATGTACTATAAGTGCTTTTGACTTAAAACTCGCACTCTGTCAGACATTCTCCATTCATACTGCGGTTGGCCAGCGAGGTTATTGTGACCTTGAATAAATCATTCCAGTGCTAAAGGACTGGAATATTTGCGATAAGAGGGGGAGATGGCAAGGGCTATAAATGTCTTTTCAACGCACATGAGAACTAGAATGATATAATAGATTAGAAAAGCCATTTGAATGGACACTGATGGTTAATATAATGCAATTAAAGTTTTTAATGATTTTATTTTTTTAAAACTGAACAGATACACACATATTCATGGTCTCAAGCCTTAAAAAGATTGTTCACCCTAAAAGTCTGAGGATTAGATGTGATTTTGTTTCATTGATTAAATGTTTCAATTTTATTTTTCCATTTAGTCAAAACCAAAATAACAAAATTTTTAAAAATATTTTTATTTCCTAAACAGAAATGCTTCTACCAGTTTTGAATGATATGAGGGTGAATTTATGGTCCACGATTTTTGGACCAAGATTTGCACTTGGGTGAATAATCTTTTAAATTTTCCGCAAGAACAGATGTAAACCATTTGACAAAATGTAGTAGAAGGTTCCACAAGTATGGCAGTGATGTTCTTAGAATTAATAATCAAACATTTTAATAATCTTAGGTTTCACTTTCAGGTACGTGTTAAATGAATCATGGTGTTTAAGACAATACAAACATGAAACATTTTAATAATCTTGAGAACTTCTTCCTCTTTAAATAAAAAATTAAATTTGAAAGAAACAATTCAAAAACAATTCACTGAGAGCCGTGTGCTGAAGGTATTTATACCAAAGTACGCTACATAAAAGTTGCCATGGGTAATTTCCAGCCCGATCTTACGAAGAAATGTAAGAATTTTATGTTTTGTCACTTTAGTGGCTAATTCGGATAAGTTCAGTTGTACGAAAATGTACGATTTAAAAAAAGAGGTGTGGCACCAAACC